GGTGGAGGTGCATCAGCTGACCAACACCACTTCAGGCTTAACATGGGAATCGCCTTGCAGCTAACAGAGCCACCTCTGACAGAAATCTGACCTTGAGCATGCTGGCCTGACTTTGCAGCTGAAGTGGCACCTGAGTTTCCCTCTAAAGCAGATTTTTGGCCAAATCTCAAAGATGCTTTGGCTGCTGTTCTTCTTTATGCTGAACTGTGTGAAACTGGGCTTGGCGTCACAGCACTGTGCAAGAGAGACACTCTCCTTGTTCTTCTCTGTGTCCAACTCTCTGCTAAAGCAATATTTGGGGAGCTCAGTTATGTGTGCCAAAGCCAGGGGAGCTGAGGATGCAATCCAGCTGCTTCCCTTTAGATTTTGTAATCCAGGATAGGAAAGCTTTCCAGTAAGCACTCACACCCTAGTGATAATGGTGACAAAAGCACGCCCTTGCCTAGGTTAACACATGATGATACTGTTAACGTGTGCACCACAGCTTGAGACTTTTTCAGGACTCTCTGGGATGAGTCCTCATAGATTAGGCAACAAGGAGTATGTTAATTTTGGCCAGGCAGCGCTAACTTTGATTTACCTTGGGCTGCTCTGCCCTTGGCTACGTGTCCCAGGGGCTCCCCCTTTGCAGCGCCCTCACTCCCAGGGCACAGAGCATGTCCCTCTGGGGCTATCAGAAACCCTGGGGCTGTTCAGAGCCTCAGGCTCTTTGCAAGAGATTTCTGCAAGGCATACATACATATACAAATATACATATGTTAACACATATTTCTGTGCTATATGTCTGTTTTTACACATATGACACTATACTTGCACATCACTAGTGGTTCAGCAATGGAAGGGTTCTTGAAACTGCGAGAGCAGAGTTTCTGGGAGATGAGCTCTGTGGCTAGTTCCTGAGCCAGTTTAGGCCCTTTCTGAGGTCTTTTTCAGAATAAGCAGGATAATTTTCCATTTTTTTCATTCCTCCATTGTACTGGCAATGATAGGTATCAGCAGCCATCAGTCTGAACCTCTTTTGTGCAGACTGCTTTACCACAGACCCACAGAACTGTAGTCACTCTCATGCACTATCATATTATGGCATCAGCTGTATCCAGCCATGTTAAGATTTTCATGGCTCGTGTGGCTTGCCTAGAGCCTACAGGTCTGTGTGCAATAATCCTTTACCCACACACCTTGCTCTGACAAATCCTAGCTCCTTTTCTTCCAGTGTTGTGGATTCCCAGCTCTGCAAACCATTTCAGGACACTATTCACCCAGCCATAGCTATGGTTTTGGAGGGGATGTGCTGTGTTGCTTGGCACAGGCAGAGTTAGTTCTGGCTCTCTAGCAGTCCTTGTTTTCAGTTCCAACCATGGGCTGGTCTCCTCTAAAGGAGTTGGCTATGCTCCTCTTTTCCTTTCTCCTCTCCTAAAACTACCAAACCTATCAAGCACGTCAGAGCCAGCTGGTGTAAAAAGTAGGACTGTTTCTCAAGGTCTTCTTATTTGCTCATACCTTGTGCAGGCACTGAGCGAAACAGTCTTTGACTTTCCTCTGCTGCTTCCCATGGCCCCAGAGCTCCAGTGGAGCTTTAAGTGCTCCATTCTTCTGCTCTGAAGTCTTCTTGGTATGCTTGGCACTGTGTGACCATAAGAGATTACTCAGTAATTCAGGTATTAATTTGCAGGACAGAGGCCTGCCTGTGGTCAATAAGGCGGTGCCCTTCTGTTTATTATATGAAAACTGTGCCCCTTCTCTGTCCTGAGAAATTCTTACCACCACCTATAACTGATGGGAATCTTTCCAAACAAAAGCCTGTTAGCACAGAACTGCCAGTTTCCAGCTCCTTGCAATAGTAGGACTATATCTGCCAGATGAAATCCTGCAGGACCAAATCAGATGCCCACAATTCTTGCCTACTGGACCAGAAAAAAGATTTTTTCCTAGCTTTGATCTGGACACTGGCTTACTTTTGAATTCATGAACAAGACACACCACAGAGATCCTTGAGATGTTCCCCAGGTACCTGTACACATCCCAGCTGGTCCCTCTATCTGTGGCCAGTCTAGCACTTCAGAGAGTCAGCTAGAATTGTCCTGATTTTACAGGAATATGCAGGAATGGGGGGTAGTTAAGCAAGTGGCTTGCAGACAGAGACAAAATCTAGCCAAACAGCATGCCTTCCTCCTGACCATGCAGACAGTAAGCACATCTCTGATGGGGAAGGAAACTTTAGAGAGTGCTCTTTGCACCTGGATCACAGCTCAAGAGAAAGGAGAATCTGTAGCTCAGCACCTGCTTCAGGGCACCAAGCATGCACTGCTATAGGTGCCACAAGGTGTGAGGATACAGCAGTCAGATGGTTCTGTGACCTGGCCCCTCTCCCTCACTCCACCAGCTACATGGGGCCCTGCCAGTGTAAGCCACGTGGTCAGGATTTCCTTTTTCAGCAGATAGGGGAAGGCAGCCTATTGCCAAGAGTGGGTGGGTGGTGAGGGCAGGGACAGCTCACCTAGGCTAGCTGCTGCACACAGAGCTCCCAGCTGGCTCTTGTTCCAGGGGTTATCTACTGACAACACAAGGTCATCAGCCAGCAGCCAAGCTACATTGCTCCACAACCTTGCTTCCTTGTCTGTGTTCTCTGCTGGGACCAACTCCCAGCAGGGACTGGTTGTGGCCTCTCTCCCAGTCTCAGATGAAACTTGCTGGAAGACCCTGATCCAGTGTCTACCCAAGATCCTGGCAAAGGCAGCCTGAAAGAGTAAGGGGCACCATCCCACTCTTTTGGATGGACATGACACTGCTGGTGCACACCGATGCTGATTTCAATGGTTAACACAGTTTGCTTCTCTGAGGGCTGTTTTGGCAAAAACATTTCATCTCCCTAGTGATATAAATACACAGCTGCTTCCTCCAAAATAGGAGGTAAATGGAAGTGTGAAGAGTGAAAGTGTGTGTGGCATCTGTGGTGCTTGTGCTACAAAGAAAAAAGGGAGAGGAAATGAGGCTTAGTGCAAAATACAGGAAGTGGGAGAAAAACAGCACAAAGCAAATGCTACATCCATTGAATGGGACTTGAATTGGTATCTTGGCTGCTGTTTGACTAACTTATGGTATCACTAAATCCCATTCTCCTCACAGGGAAAGAAACCCTGCAACTGTGCATTGTCAGTGTGACGGAAGAAACAACGGCAGCTGATGCTGGTTGGGTCAGTATTACTGTCTGTCTCACAGACCAGTCTTTGTTCTCAGAGTGGTGACAAAGGGCTCCCTTCTTTCCTTCACCTCCCTCGTCTTGTTCATAGGCGTGTTGGAACAGTGAATGTTTTAAGACTATATCAGCTGTGGGTGACATGCCTTGGCGAGCTCCCATCAGGACCTCTGCCACCCCTGCCCCCTGGGAGGTGTCCCTCTCATGCACCGGTGCCCTCCATGGAGTGTGCTGGAAAAGGCTCATTCCCTTATCGCCTGGTGGAGCTTGGAGCTGCGTGCTGCTGGAGTCTGTTAGTAGTAAACATGACTACAAGCTCTGAGCCAGCAGGTCCACAGGATATCAGGAGCATGCATGGTGCTCCTGTCACTTTCTTGTTCACCTCTGTTACTCTCAGAGCCTCCTAAACTTGTTACTTGGGCACTCTGCTTCCTGTCTCTCTTGGAAGATGAGTGCAGGGGAAAGGGAGCTGGTGTTGGTGAGTCTTAGCTGGCGTCACCAGGGTAATCTCTGTCTCCCTCCACATGGAAAAAGAGACTTCAGAAGGTTTGGCCAGTTCCTGAGAAGGGGAAAGTTACTGCTGCTGGTATAATCCCAGCCTGTAGTGCATGCTTTTCCAAGAAGAGGTAGCCTCTCAGCCAGTGACTTTTGACAAGCGGTTGTGCCCAGTATCTGGCAGAAGAAGAGAGTTTGCAGGGCATTGTGGTGGGTGGCAGAGCTCTTCCAGAAAAGGGACTCAGTTGGAAGACACACTTCCCACATTCAGCCATCCTCTGACTGATGCTCTCTGCCACCCCACCGCCAGGCAGTGAAAGGCTCCTCTCCCAGCATCTGCATGTTGCAAATGGAGATGGCGCATAGCAGGGCAATATCTGAAGACCTAAGAGTGCACCTTCAAGGCCCTTTGATATCATCCCAGTATTCCCAGTCTACGCACTCTGAACAGTTCTTGTCTTAGCTATCAGAGTGGCAGAATTATTTCAGCCACTTTTCTAGTGCTCTTTATCTTGGCAACCTAAGGACTTCACCTTCGTTACATTTCTCGTATTCTTGGTACAGAGGGTTGAACCTGCACAGAGACATACAGAGTTACAAAATAGGGCCCATGCCTTGATGCACACAGGTCCTAACATAAAAAAAGACACATTCAGAGGCATATACACAGACACCCACTTGCCAAATGATCCTGTGACCTTGCACGGACAAGCAGAACAGTACATCAGGATCATGACAGTGCTCTACAAGAAATCCTAAGTGTTACTGTCCCCTATGGGAACCTGGAAAAAGCAGCATAGTACATTAGGTTAGAATGGATGTTTCAGTGTTTCCCTTTCAGAAAACAGGGAAATAATTTTCAACTTCTGAGAGCATCAAACAGCAGTGTGTGGAAGAGTCAACATAGGAGCCACTGCCTCTGCTGTGCTTTTGATGCATGAAAGGACCTCAGCAGGAACATCACATGCTGGCCACCGTGTCTGCACACAGGTCTCACCACTTGGAGATGCCTGTAGTCAAGCAATCCCAAATCTGTCTTTGGAAGGTGTGTTTCCAGGTCCAATTTTTACAGGCCAGCACAACTACAAGGAGTGGTCTTCCTTGAACAAAAGATGAACATTTCTGAGTGGAAGTCAAACAGGTGGAGTTGACCACATCAGCCACAACAAAGGGTTCATGACCAATGTTCTCCTCTCCTTATGCTTCCTTGGAGCTAATTTTTCCCCTTAGGCTTCCCCTGTCTGATGCCAGGCAACACAACTCTGTCATGAGGCCTCCACAGGCAGCCCAGGAACACAGCTCAGACTCTCCTGTGGAGTTTGGGTCCTGGATCGTTGGTTTTTTATAGTAGGGATAAGCCCGATGACTCCTTATTAGAGTAAGTTCAAGAGAAATCTGAAAAGGGAAGATAAAGATGCTTTGGGATGCAAGATATCTTATGCTGTGTTTATTTCCCTTCCCCCCCACCCCGTAATACGATTCAGAGCAACATGAGGAGCTGTGGTAACATGGATGTGGTAACTTGTATCAGAAGGTGCCCAACAGCAAAAACTGTGCAAATATGCACATTTTTGGGGAGGTCAGCAACAAAGCTTCTTTATGCTAATATCAGCCAGCTATGCATCCAGATCTCAGGAGCAATGAGACCAGGGACTGTACTTCATAGTTCAAGTGAAGCTGGGCAAAAATCCATGACCTTGAGTCTATGGCGTTTGAGAAGGAGGGGGGGGAATTGACCTGCAGCAGGAATTACGAGTTGCCTACAGCATGGCTTAGCTAACATTTCCCACAGTAGAGCAGGGGGAAGAGCTTAAGCTTGTTTGAGATTGTTTGAGGAAGAGACTGAGTTTGTCTCCAGAGTTGTTTTTTATGGCATGCATCTGAAAACAGTTTACATGTGGCTAGAAGGAAGCCTCTTTGTTATTGTGGTTAAAATGACCTCTCAGTACCTAGCCTCTATTTTAAGCAGGTGATGCATACGTGTTCTCATGCCAGTACTCTTCAGTCTTTTAGCTGAAGTAGCAGTTCTCTTTCATTGGGATTTACCCATCTGATGTATTAATAGGCAGCAATCATATGCCCTCTTAACATTCCTTTTGCTAGGCTAAAAAAAGCAAAGACCATCTAGACTTCTACAGTCACCTCTCTCCTTTTTGTCGGGATCGCTCTAGTGCCATTCTTTCCACTTGTTAGAATTTTCTCTTTTCCAACTCTTCTGGAAGGTACTTTTCTCCTCCGTACTGGCAGTGCTTCCTCGTTTTGTCTCTTCAGCTAACGTTTACGTTTTTCCTCCAAGGTCATCAGTGAAGATATGAAATTCGCTGGTGCCAAAACCAGTCTCGAAGGAATTTCATTAGCAATTGCCTACTACTTTATGTTTCAGGGTCTTTTTATTAAGCAATTTGTTACCCACTTTTCAGTTCGAGTGTGAATCCCTGCACTCCCCTGCTTTCACAGCTTCTCAACCATCCTCTGTAAAACCCAAATATCTTTCATATACCACATAACCAATGTTTTAAAAAATATTTATTCTCCTCCCCAAGCATAAAAATAATAAGAAATACTCTATCTTTCATACAGCCACATTGAATTTTGTCTAATTTTCTGTGCACTTCCATATCTCTAATTATTCCCATTTTGTTCTAGGACAAAAAGAAAAGCTGTTCTAAACTCTTGGGTTGTAAATAACTACATCCCTTTTTTTGTTCCTTAATTGAATTTAGGTAAAATTGTTGATACTAGGCAACTCTCTGGTCCCCATCTAACCTCCATTTGCACAGGTTGATTGTATATCAATGCTATTGGATTTACTACTTGATCTGTCTCCAGGTACCTTCTGATCTAAATAAACCTTGTGAATTTTGCCTTGAGCTCTGATGGGATTTCCAGACACTTTTAGCCATCGACTTGTAATCTCCTTCTTCTACACCATCTTTCCTGCAAAATGAGGCAAAACTTCTGTTTTATAGAGCATGCCTTGATCTTAGCTGCACTGTGCAGAGGTCTGATGTCTTGCCTTGTTCTTTTTACCTTTACAAAGAACTTTATTCAGCACCTCTGCCAGATCTATCTCACCTTGATTTCTGGTGACTGACATGTCTATTTTTCTAAACTTTGTGACCTCTGCCATGTAGATTTCTTTGCTGACCACTCCCATCTTTCCAGGAGGATTATTTTTCACCAGTAAGTCAATTTTCTATATGTTCCCTGTTGCCATGCTGAGTCTGAATGCCTTCCACATACAAATACTTAAGATTTTTAACTCAAGTTGTTCATCACTTCAGTTCCATAACTTCTCTGACCATTAACGTTTTGAGGTTGAAAAATCTTAGTTGTGGCCCCATGGTATTTACTCTTCCATTTAATTTAAACAGAATCAGCCTCTGTACAGTCAAGGTTAAAAGTTATCTTCAGCCACATTATGCTGCAATGTCTCACTGGTTAACAAGACCAGGTCAAATGCAATGGCAGCTGTGGTTAGTTTACTGCCTCTTTAGTGAAGAAACGTAAGCCAGGGCATCCCAGAATACCTGGGCCCAGCCTATGGTAGTAGCACTTTATTCTCCATGTAAAAAGTTAAAACCTGTAGTAATGACAATCCCTGGTTATGCATATCATTCTAAAACCGTGAAACAAAGTCATCAGCATCAAGGCACAACCTTGGATAACCACAGCAGAACTACAGCTGTCTTTCCTCAAGGTGATTTGAACACAGACAGAATCTGCTTATCACCTCTGTTCCTGCTTGTTTCTTCACACTCAACAATATCATGAACAGGCAATACTACCACAGGCCCCACTTGCCTTTGCTCTTCTGAGCAGCATAAATCTTTCAGTCTCAGTGGTCCAGCCACGCCAGCTGTCCATCCTGACTCTGAAAGTCCTGGCATACACAGCCTGCATATTGCTCATGAGGTCCTTGCCTTAGCAATCAGGCACTTCCATTGTTTTTCCTAGTTTCCCATATATACTGGCTATATAATCTTGGATGGAGTTTCAGTTTTCTGCTCTAATAACTATTACACTCCTGCTCTCTTATGTTCCTTTAGTCATTGGTGTATTTTAATATCTATGCTCCTCCTTCAACTACACATCAAAAGCCAGTATGGAAACCACACAAGTCCCTACTAAAAATCCCACACAAAATACCAAGTCCTCCACCCTATATCTTAGTCTAAAGCCTGTCTCGGGTGTCTGGTTCCCGGCAGGCTGTGTTCTTCCACACCCGTACTCAAGCTGCCAAGGAGAGTCCTCTCTCTTTGGATGCCTTCAAAGAGACAACACACTGCTGGCAGGAGTTCCCAAGGAATCTGTAATGTCTGGACCATGGATTTGCCCTTCTCTTAGGACATGTTTCACTGAGGTATGTAAAGTGCCTTGAGCAGTATCTGTAGTCATCCTTCTTCCATTTCAGTGGGAATCTAGCTCCCTCATTTGTCTCAACATGAAGGGAATCACTGGATTATTCTCTTTTCCTGAAGACACATTTTCAATTCAGATCCCCTTTTGTAACAGGAATTGTCTTAAAGTGTTCCCATTCACACAGACCTATCTTTCCTGGTACCTCTGGTAGACTCTTCCCCTTGCCCTTTGCAGTACTTCTGCAGCCTCTTCTCCTTTCCAGGTTCTTGGACTCATGTTTCCATGGCCCCTGACCTCAAGCCGTCCCCATCTCTTCTTTTCATTCTCTGCTGGGTTCACTTTTTCCTTTTCTGTTCTTGTTACTTTTCCTTCCCATTCCCAGTCCACAAGCTTCTTCTCGAACTTCAAATGAAGCAGTAGCAGGGAAGAACTTGCACGTGCTCTGATAAACTCTGCTCAGAAGTTATGGTAGGGATGACTGGAGTGCATTCCTCTCTACGCTGAAAACTTGAACTCATGAAAAGGGCTGAGAGATTTCAGCAGCACAGAAACTGTAATCCTAATTTAAGTTTACCCAGATCCCACCTCTGAAGTGGCCTGATGATTCAAAGCAGCAAAGCAGACTGCAGCAGCATGAGGCCAGAACACACAGCAGCCTTACCTCAAGACAGCAATTCCCATTACAAGTGTGAGTTGAGAATCTCATTTCCCCAGGAAGTAGGCAACTACTACTCCTCACATCACACATCGTGGTGACAGACAGAGGTTAAGTAACCTGTTTCTTGCTATTGACAACTAGAAGACAGCTCTAGACACTGCTGTTGCCTGCCCCTTGGCACTGGATGAGAGCTGCCAAGGAGGTGGGGGACTCAGGCAATGTGCCTCTACGGTAGATATCTCCATCTGACTGTGTTGCCTAGAATCCATTAAACAGCACAGGTGGAGGCAGAAATGATGGACATATCTTCAGCACCCTAATCCAAGTGCCATTACCTCCTGCTCCATTCTGCTAACATCTGAACAACAGTTTGGGTACTGCACTGTTCAGCACAGCACCACTGGGTAGCATTGCTCAGGTGGAAGATGTGTGTTTCCTCCACTAACTTTATATCCCGGATAGAGAGGGTTGCGTTGTCTAAGGTGACTGACATGATGCTCCCTCTTGCTGAGTTGAGAAGCAAACTGTCATAGCACAGCAAAGGATGTTGTTGTCACAGAACCATCTCCCCTCACCTCCTATTAGCCTTGCTCAAGGTCATTCTGTATGGCAGCAACAGGAATAGAACGTGTGAATTCCACCTCCTTATCCCGCTTGACCCAGGGCTAGGATCAGCTGGGAAAAAGCAATATCTGTCCAAGCATGGCAGCAGTGCTCGGGTGTTGTTGTGCAGGTTAACACTCGTGCTGAAGCCCCTGCCACACACACAATAGGCACCAAGAGGTGCCAGCTCTGGAAGCTGGAGGCCTGGGGACACGTTGTGCTGGAAACACTGGGGCCCCATCCAGCTGCACCAGCACTCCCTCGCCCGTGGGACTGTGAGTTCCTCCCTGGGAAAGCAGCAACGCCCAACTGACTGCGCTCCAGCCCCGGCAGGAAAAGGCTAAGTACGGACAATGCCCAGATGGGGTGATTAAGCCCCGATCAGCGAAGCATGGTCCCACGCATGATCTGTGTGTGCCCCACGGAGCACACCTCCACTCCAGGTTGTATTTTGGGCTTCTTTTTTGGAACATTCTGCACGTTAGGGATGCTTTCTCCCACAGAGACAAGAGAGTAGCAAGACATTTCCCCCTGCCTGCCAGGCAGTTTTAGCTCTGTCCCAGAGGCATCCTGAAAGAGGATGTGAGGTTGTTTACCCTCAATGAGACAGCTATCAAATCTGATAGCATGGACCCTAGAGGTTAAAGGATTTGGGCACCCAGTCACTAGGGAGTAAAATGTGCTGCTCTGACTTTCTAAAATGTGCTGCTTTGACTGCGGTGGAAAAGGTCACACATCACAGGTTACTGCCAGCTAATGAGAAATGAATCTG